CCCAGGGGTGCCACACGGTGCTGTAGGGTGGGGCCTGGGCTGCAAAAATGGCTCAGGCCGCCATCTGTAGTTGGGCCCCAGCTGCTTTTGGAGCTGTGCTGCTGGGTTTTAAAACTCCCGGTGTTTCCCCTTTCACCTGTTGTGCGGTGTTTGAGGATGCCGCGCATGCGCTCTCTCTGCCCCACAGTGCTCAGTAGATGCCTGCAGGGAATTTAAAGTGAGGGGCTGTGGCGCTCCGTCACAAATCCCCCTACTCCTTCAGCAGCTGCTGGCTGGCCCCAGACATTAGGGTGTTCCTGGGCACACCTGGCACACCCTGTGCGCACGCCTATGACCCTAGCCCTTCATTGCTCCAGGCGGGGGAGCAGCTGGTGACAGCTGCTGAGTCCTCAGCCTGAGCCAGGAGCAGAGCCTTAGGTTGGTGGCAGAACCCTGGGTGACAGTGGAGCCTTCAGAGCCATTGTCCTGGATCCCTGAGCCAACAGGCTGCAGAGCCCATTGGCGATGGGACCCTGAAGGTCGACAGAGCTCATGAAGCAGTTGCGTGGTGGGATTCTGGTGGGCTGGTGGCATCAGTATCTATGAGCAGATTGCTTGGGCAATGCAGTACAAGGGGTACAACAGTCATCCACAGCAGAGGGTAGGTCTAGACTGCAATCTAAAATAAAAATAAGATATGCAGTTTGCGCTATGCAAATTGCGTCTCTTATTTTGATTTTATTTCCAAATAGGCTATTTCAAAAATTGGCGTGTCTATATGGCACTGAATTTTGAAATAAAGCACTATTTCAAGTCATCCCTTATTCCTCATGGAATGAAGTTTACAGGGATGATGAAACAGCGTGTCCGCTATTTTAAAAATTATTTCAAAATAGCGGACATGTTCTTTGGATGCAGGGTAGCTATTTTGTGATACCTCTGGAATCCTGAAATAGCCTTGCAGTCTAGATGTACCCAGAGCTGAGTGAAAGACAAGAAACTATCAGAAGACCACAAAGGCCAACAATTGATAGAGCTGAGTGAAAGACAAGACACTATCAGAAGACCACAAAGGCCAACAATTGATCTGGTGCTGAGCCGCAGACCTGCAGCTTTCTAAAAGGGATGCATACCATACTTTGTAGTGACCCCACCACCATGCCACCATGAATTCTTCCAAGGAGCCCAAGTCACGGGTTTCTGCCATGAACAGCAAGGAAGAGGAGGTGGAGGAGGAAGAGGACTATTGGGGATAAATAAGTGGGATCCAGCTGTGCTGCAAATCAGGAGCTGTTCTTGACTCCACTTTAATCCAGCTAGTTTTGCAATCGAAGCTTGGGTAAATAAATGTGTAAATAAATGTCCCATTACAGTTATGGCTCCTACAACTTAGCAGAGCACAGTGATTGATTTTTTCATCAATTGATTAGTACTAGGAGAGGTAGAGTATTATCTACTCAGCAAACAGAGGTAGAGTGCTATCTGCTCTTCCTTCCTTTCTAGAGTTAGTGGGGACAGAGGATGGACTGTGCAGAGCAGTGTGTTTATGTACACAGGAATGTCCTTTTAAGCCTCCTGAGAGATCTCTTTGAAACTTCCATGAGGATAGACTACAATTCTCTCCCACAGGTTTTTAGGGATGGTGGCTTTATTTTTTCCTCTGATGTAGGATACTTGGCCATTCCAGTCAGCAATAACTTTGACAGGCCCCATTGCTTTAAAAAGGCAGTAAATGGGTCCAAGCAAATCCAGGGCACCAGCAGCAACTGTGCTCCCTTTGCCTTTGTTAGCCTCAGGAGTGAGATCTCAGCTGAAATTAACACTACCTGTGGACCATGGTGCCACTATTCAGTTCCATTGCCTATACTCAGTTTCATGCCACTGAAAAATTCCCTATTTGGTTTTTCACCCCAGCAGATCACACTCCACACTGCTTGAGCTGAGAGTGGCACTGGGCACAAGCACTCCAAAGCAGGCATGTCAATAAGCACATTTTGTCTAACACTTTAGGGGAGCAAGGGAAGGGGGGAGAGCTGTATCTTAAATTTTGCCTTTCATTCCTACTATGCTGATAAAAGTACCTTTGTTTTATCAGTCGTTACGGCTGTTGTGGCTTTGATGGGGACTTTCCGCACCAGTGGAAGGACTGACTCAGATAAGGAGGAGAAAAAAGAGGACACTGGAGGATGTGTTCTGTGAGATTCTGAAAACAAATGCTGCATCAGACCTTGAGCTCAAGGTCTGGAGGGTCAGCATTGCTGATTGTGTGGAGAAGGAAAAAGTGGACGGCTGAAAGGGCCAGGAGTCCCAGCAGGAAAAGGAGAGGGAGATGCACCAGGACATAACAAAGCATCTCAGGCAGCAAACACAGATGCTGCAGACTCCAGGTTCAACAGCCTTGGGCTCAACTTCTAATGACGTTTGTAGAGAACTGCAGCATAGTTCATACCTACATCCTCTCAGCATTCCAGCTGGCTGCAGGGCCCACAAGCATACCCCTGTCACTCCATCCAGAGGGAAAGCATGGACAGCTATGCTGAGTTTGTTTGGGGGCCTTATATCTGGCTGTTGGAACTCAGCAGACAGTTACTCCACCTCCACTCTGACGACAAGTTTTCCCCTTTTGCTTCACAAAATTTTGTAGGATCTAAGAGGCAGTTATTACCATTGCACTATTTTTGCACTGAGATCTAGTCTGATGAGTAAACAATGCAGGTGCCATTTCAATTTACCAAAAGCACATTCTGCACCTGCAACTTAAACCTAATTTGATGATGAAGAGATACACAGAGTTGTCACTTAGGCTACATCTAGACTACAGGCTTCTTTCGGAAGAAGCTTTTTTTTGGAAGAGATCTTCCGAAAAACCTTCTTCCAAAAGAGAGTGTCCACACTGCAAAAATGCATTAAAAAAGCGCTTTTCCGAAAGAGATCATCCAGACTGAATGGACACTCTCTCACATGTAAGCTGTGATTGCTATGGACAGAATGGCCACCAGCAAATCTGTGCTTTTTCCTCTTTCCTCTTCTTCTGAAATAACTCCCTCTTCCCCATCCATACATGCCTTTTTGCAAAAGAGCTCTTTTGGAAAAAGGCTTCTTCCTCATAAAATGAGGATTACCAATGCCAGAAAAACTCCTCTGTTCTTTCAGTTTTCCTGTGGAAGAATACAATTGCAGTGTGGACGTTCCTCAAGTTTTGTCAGAAAAATGGCTGTTTTTCCAACAAAAATCTGTAGTGTAGACATATCCTAGGGTATGTCTAGACTACATGCCTCTGATGACAGAGGCATGTAGATTAGGCTACCTGGCATAGGAAAATGAAGTGGTGATTTAAATAATCGCCGCTTTATTTAAATTAAAATGGCTGCCGTGCTGAGCCGATCAGCTGTTTGTCGGCTCAGTGCGCTAGTCTGAACACTCCGCGGTCAACATCAAAGGCATTTGTCGACCGCCCCGGTAAACCTCATTCTAGACTACATGGCCTTGTCGACGGAGCCATGTAAAGTAGTTTTCAAGCTCTGACAGTCGTAGGGGGCGAGTTGCAAAGGTGGAAGCCTGCCATGAGGAATGCTGTGCAGTCGGGAAGCACATTGTTTCTACAAAGGAAGGCAAAGTGCCTTACAATCTGTGTTGGCATTTGCCCCCCAAGATAGCAGTCTCATCATACTGCACTGAGGTTGGACGCACCAGGTAGGACTTTCCTATAAAATAGAAGGAAAGTTATCAACATTCCCTTTATCCAGTATTCCTGGTTATCAAAAGTTACAATGTATCCTATAAGAAACCAGCTGTAGGAATAGCCTGGGAAAATTAAATATGGAGTAATATACTTGAGTAACATCTGGAGAAGTGGATTAATCATATATCCTTTTGGGGAAGTATGTAAAGAAGCTAGTAAAGACCGCCTTCTAATCATTCCAGAGAAAAGTCTATCCCAGCTATGGTATCTCTACAGCTCCCATTTCCATTATGTTTGTCCTGAACACTGCATTTCAGATCCATAGAGCATTGTCTAAGGAGTCTTGAAAGTTTCTCCTTGCACACCTCCATTTGAAAACAATGGAATTAGCACAAAATTAGCCTTTGATTTGATCACAATCATAAAGAGACTAGTAATTTCAATTTAGTGGAAGAATTTTTTTTAGACTGGAGAATACCTTAATTTTGGGAATCAAAAAAATCCAAGCAAAGTCTGAATACTGGTTTGTATTATGAACTATAAGACTTATGTATTCATTTCAACAAATCCTACTTTTGTCACTAACCACGAGCTTAATCTCATCTGCAAGAGGCACATTTCACTAGGCTTTTCACTTTTTTAATTAAAAAATATCCAACTAATTGATAAAAGCAATTTTCAGTATACTGTGCTATGCTGCTGTAAATAAATGGTTCTGCAGGTAAGATAATGATTAGAGAACTGTGTTGCAAAAGCTGGAAAATCTGTGAGGGCTACTGCTGCAGTAGCACTATGCAAAACAGCAGTAGAACAGTCAGAAGTTGTAGGTGCATTAAGTTGGTCTGAAATGTCTGTTTTCTATCAAATCCATGTTGAAAACAGTATTGTTTTATATGCTTAAAATGAGAGAGACCCAAATTAAACCTTCTAAAAATAACACCTCCTTAATCTGTGATAGAGATGTAGCCGTGTTAGTCTGGGGTAGCTGAAGCAAAATGCAGGACAATGTAGCACTTTAAAGACTAACAAGATGGTTTATTAGATGATGAGCTTTCGTGGGCCAGACCCACTTCCTCAGATCAAATAGTGGAAGAAAATAGTCACAACCATATATACCAAAAGATACAATGAAATGTCTGTTTTCTATCAAATCCATGTTGAAAACAGTATTGTTTTATATGCTTAAAATGAGAGAGACCCAAATTAAACCTTCTAAGAATAACACCTCCTTAATCTGAATCTTGATTTGAACTTTGCAAGTGGTCCATATCTTTAGATTAAAAAATTCAAGTCTGTATCTGGACAAAGTTTCGGGTGTTTGAAAACCAGATTTTTATGGGAATTTTTATGCTTAAGCCCATATTTAATGTTCACTTAAAATGCCTCCTATATGAGTATGGTATCTCTTGTGCGCTATGCTTGAAATGAATAACATCTTATTTCATGAATTGTTAAATTTTACTCACAATTGATACAAATGTTATCTATCTTTATTATGGAGCCAAGGAAATCTACAAAGACTTCTGTTATCTCTGAGATATGCTTACTGTTTCTCAAAGCAATAAAAAACCCCAATTGTTTTCTCTGTGTCTATTGGTTAGTTTGTAAGTTCTATGGAAAGAGACTGTTTGTTTGTTTTATATAGTACACAGATACACATATTGTTGGTATTAAACAAATAATAAAGAACAATAATCTGATGAGCTGCTGGAACTCCTTAGCTATGATGATGCTGGGACAAAATTATAGTGACAGAAGCTGTATAGAGTAGAACTTTAGAGTTATGAACTGATCAGTCAACCATAGATCTCATTTTGAAATACACAATCAAGCAGCAGAAGCAGTGACATTCCCCCCCTCCCCAACGGTGTTAAAGGCAAACTACTAAAAAAATAAAGGGAAAGCAGCATTTTTCTTCTGCATATTAAAGTTTACAAACTGTAATAAGTCAATGTTCAGCTGTAAACTTTTGAAAGAACAACCATAATATCTTAATAATCAGGTTGGCATAGTGTAGTAGTAATCTCCCATTCTTTGAAATGATCCACCACTCTTCCACCTTGAGCCTCTCACACATGTGGTATTAGCATCAGATAGTCTTTCTCCACACCCCTATATGTCTCATTGTTTAGTAGTTCTTGCTGATGCTGTCAGCATAACATTAAAAGAGAACCCGCAGAAGAGCTGTACTAAAGAATAATGCTGCTGGTAAAAGTTATGTCCCTGCTGGTTTCTTAAAAGTTCTAGACTTACCTGGAAAGCCATGCATTCCAGTGTTGCAGTTTTTACTCTGATGCCATAATTATTGTGAACAGGAGCTGGTCTTCAGACAGAAAACTGCTGCAGTAAAGAGTGACATTAGGAAAAGAGGAAACTGCAACCCACATGTTTCGTAGAGATTACACCAATGAGAAAACAGCTCAATGGACAGGATGAATGTATTCAGATTTGTTAAAAAAAAATCTGCCTTACTTTTCAGGCATTAATTTTTGTTTTCCACTTTGCCTTATTAATCTCCTTTTGGCAGCAAGAAAGTGGACAAAATGACTGAATAAGCCAGGGTGCTGAAACTTTGCCCATGTGAGGTTGCCTTGGCAACCTTACAAGAGCCCAAAATCAGCATCTGATTTCATAAAGTGGAGTATATTGTGGCCACCCTTTTCTATGCTACTGACATGGAGAATGCAGAGAGGATAGCTCCATAGTTACAGTGCTCCATTTTTTAAATTTTAATATGCCAAAAATCAGAGGTTCTTACTAACTCCTGCTTGTTGAAGTATCAGACATTCATTTTTTATTTCAGCTTTTCTCAGACAACCTCATTCAGTTAGTTGGAAATTAGCCAGAACAAAACTTAACTGAAACTGAAAAGGACCTGAGGGTTTGACCCAATAAGAATTGATTCATTTCAAAATTTGTAAATATGGATTTAAAAACTATATTAATCCATTTACAGGGTCAAGTCTTTGAATGGGAGTTTTGCCTCAATAAGGACTACAGGATTTGACCCACGACATGAAAGTAAAATACATGTAATATACAGAATATGTAAATGTATATAAGTAAAAGTTCTATAAACTGCAATTAAGACCTGCTCCGACTGAAGTTAAAAGGAGGAAATTCAGGCCTTTGAATCTTTTAACAAATAATCCTGGTTTAACTATTGCACAGTTGGTTAATTTGTGCACATCCTCTTTTTTTCTCTGTGGGTGAGACACTTTGTTTTTGTTTACATTAATTCTCATAACTTTTGAGTTTGGTTGGTTGTGAATCACTTCTGCATTTGGTAGACTGGTACATCTCAGCAGCAGATTTCTACATACTGGGTAACACAAACAGATGGCCTATTTGCTGATTCAAATGAAATGAATAGGAGAAATTAAATATAGGCCCGTGGTATCATATTTCAAAACCGTGAAATGAGTTAACCAGCAAGTTCAGGCTCTGTCGAATCAGAAGACAACACTAGAGAGCTCTTTTCTGTTTGATTCAAAGATCTGAATTCTGTTTACCTGCCACAACAAGACCCAATATTTCCATTCACCATGTTTGCAGTGATGGGTACATTAAACCAAAATTTTACAGTAATGGATACATTAACCCTAAAATCACTGATCAGTTTCAAACTGAAGGATGCCTACAAAATGAGGTTCAGACAATAGTCTACAATATGGCAATTGGGTGTTTTTTTGCCACCTGAGATGGTGTACAGATCAGGACTCTATTTGGAAGGGAATCTGTCAGTCTTGCATTCTGCTCACTGATCTAAACATTCTGTAGCTCCCAGAGATTCTGACTCACCTTTCACCTGCCCATTGTGGACTCAGGATGAGATCGGTGGTAGCTTAGTTTTTCTGCTGAAGTTTTTTTTCTGCCACGAGAAAGAAGCAATTTGTTTTTATTAATATAAAATGTTCAGATTGCAGTTTTTTCTTGTATTATGTTGTACGCTAACTATTATAACCAATTTCTTCACTGTGCACTTATCAGAAAAGGAAGCAGAAGCAGAAGAGGAGCTGAAGCATCATATACTGTGCAAGAACTTTCTGGGCATGTCTACACAGCAGCGTTACAGGCAGTCCCCAGGTTACATCAATCCGACTTACGTTGGATCCCTAGTTACAAACGGGGGGAGGGCGCACCTAGTACGGGGTGCCTCCCCCACTGTCGCCGCCTCCGGCGGTGCGGGGGGCGCTTCCCCCCAGCAGACCAGGGAGACACGGAGCGGCTTTTCTCGCCGTGGAGGACGCGGGTCTGCTGGGGGGAACAAGACACCAGCCAAAAGGGGGCACCCCGGAGCGGAAAAATTAATTTCCTAGGGAACAGCAGGAGCAGCAGGTAGTGAGACCCATTGTGTTACAGTCCACCTTGGGAGCCTCTTCAGCACTAGAGCTGCAAGTATCTTGTTAGCGTCACGTGAAATTAACAAGTCCCTTCCAGCCTGGCAGAGGTGAAGCTGAAAAATTACCCAGTGGTGTGGGTGGGCAAGAATGGGGAGGAGCAGGACAGAAGGGAAGAGGGGATAAGCCCCAACCCCAGACCCTGGCTGGAGTGGAGCAGGGTAAGCCCCGAGGGGATGGGTCTGGTTGCAAAGTGGGTGAGTGGACAATGAGGACCCACCTGTGGCTAAACTCCTGTTCCCAACACAGAATTTTTCTTTAAAATTAATCCTGTGGATAAATTCACACACACACTTCACAGGAATGGATTTCCATTTTCTGCTCAGCAGAATACAACAGCTTTGATTGTATCAATATTTCACTGTACTCTCCAATGACTATTGATTACACTTAATACCCATTTCACTGAACCATCTGTAGCAAATTCTATTTGGAACAGTAATATGCATTGAATAAACTTTTTTTAGTTATAAAATTTGGTCACTCTTCAGCTTTATAAATGAAGGCTGCAATTACATTTAAATTCCAGATTTGAAATATAAATGTATAATATGTGTGTATATAGTAGTGTGTGTATATAGTATATAATACACACACACACACGCATATATATATATATACACATACATACACACACTTATAACTATATATATATATATATATCCATATATATACATGCACATTATGTGTGTGTGTGTGTATAAAAATGTGTGTGAAAAATAATGGTGCCCTATGCTAACTTGGGTGGTTAACCATGGATGTCCATAGGACGGCTACTTTTTACTTGTGGATACTTGAGTACAATTAAGATGCGATACTTTTGTACTTTTACTCAAGCAGTTTTCCTGAAAGATACTTTGACTTTTACTTAATTACATTTTTTTTCAAAGTAGCTGTGCTTTTACTCAAGTAACTTTTTTGGGTACTTTCCCCACCACTGCATTGGCCTCTCATTGGCAAATGAGATGATCATTCCAGAGTTGAGGATCTTCTACTGAGAATAATCTGGATTCATTTAGGTGCTGAACAAAACTTATCAAAGTGACTTAATCTGTCACATCATTATGGCGAAATAATGTTACTAAACTGCTCATCATTTAAAGATGTGGCAAGATATATAATCTAGTAGATTGATTAGGGAGTGGAAGCCAAGAATTCTAACTCTGGTTCTGCCACTGACTCACTTTGTAGCTTTGAGCAGTTATGTAACCTGTTTATTGCCCGCCTCTCCATTGCAAAACAGAGCTGATAATACTGCTTTACATAGCTTGATGGAATGTGGAAAGATTAACTAATTAATGTTTATAATTACAAAATGTTATACATGTGTTCAATGCTGTTAGTAAGGATTAGCAAACAAACAGGAAATATTAGTCACTGTTTAGTCACTTCAGTTATTCAACAACATAAGAAGCAGAAGTAATTGCTGATGCAAGATTAGCAATATCCCTTATTCAGATAAAAAGACAAGACCTGGATTTCTATATGAAGATCTGACACTGACTAGCTATTGGATCTTTTCACCTCTTTGTGTCTCATTTTCCCCAGCTTCAAAAGGAGTAATTATTCTTATAAAGTGCTTATGATCAACAGATGAAAAGTCCCATTTATAGATAAGTACTGTTAATATTTCAGCGCATTACCAATTTGATTCACCTTCCCTTTTTACAGAATGTTTTATTGGATAAAAGCTTCAGGGGGTAGACAAGTTAGTTGGTAACAGGAAAAACTTGTGGGAAAGACCATTCATTCCTCACCTACAGACAACCCTGTAATCTCAAACAAATTCTTTCCAGTAGCCACGCAACACATCTCCATCATAATCATGAAGGAACTCACACCTGCGATCAGTTCCAGTGCCAACGCTATCTACACAAACAATTCCATCATTGGACTCAACCACATCACCCACCACATCAGAGGCTCATTTAACTGCATTTCCACTAATGTGATTTATGCCATCAATTCTCCTCTTCCATGTATATTGGCTAAACTGGACAGCATCTACAGGAAAGAATTAATAGACACATATCAGAATCTACAGGAAAGAATTACTGGACACATATCAGATATCCGAAAAGGCAACACACAGAAACCTGTTGGGAGAACACTTTAACCTGCCCTGGCGTTCATTAATGGATCTCAAAGTCACAGTGTTGTTTCAGGCCAATTCCACAATCCAAATACACAGGGAAGCCTTAGAACTTAACTTCATTTACGCGTTTAAGACCCATCATAAAGATATGAAAAAAGACATCACCTGGCTAGCACACTATCCACAGCCTAATGACTTAACAAACCACACAATGGGTACTTAAAAATAATTTGCACCGTCTCTATCAGTTTCATGTAACATGAACACTCTAATTCACTGTTTTTTTCTTTCCCTTTCTTCTCCCCCCCCATCCCCTGTTTATTTTGGAATTGGACTTTTAATATTTCATTATCCCGTTTATTTTGGAATTGGACTTTTAATATTTCATTCATCTGAACAAGTGGGTTGCAGCCACGAAAGCTCATGATACTATCTACATGTTTTGTCTTTATGGTGCTGCTAAACTATGTTTTTTTAAAAAAAGTGTTTACATAAGGGAGGTCAATGTTGGTATAACTGCATCAATCAGGGAGTGCCAGTGTGTATTTTTCACATCCCTGAGCAATGTAGTTATACCGAGAACTAACTGCATAGTGTAGATCTTGATTTATACTTTTCACTTTTACATTTGATTGCCAGCACTTGAGCTTCTATTTTTCTGAGTATGATTTGACTTCCAATTTTGAAAAGATTTCTTTTTGCTTTTAATTGTCTCTTTTACTATGTTGCTTGAATTTGTTTATCTTCCTACTATTTTTTGTTTTGGTTATACATTTCATTTGAGCCAGTGCTCTGGTGTTTTAAAAAAGTTTCAATACAGCTTGCAGGTTTTTCAATGTTATGTTTGTTCCTTTAAACCTGTTTAACCAACCTCCTCAGTTTTCTGTAGTTGCCTTTTGAAGTTAACTGCTACTTTGGAATTATTAGATCTCCATCCCTATTTTGATTTGAATTACATTAGGGTCACTATTACTAAACAGTTCAGCTATGTTCACCTCATGGACCAGATCCTGACCATCACTTAGGACTAAATCAGGACATTCCTCCATGGCTTCCAGGATGGCAAGTTGCTCCAGGATGCAGTCACTCTGTTCCACTGCTGGACAGTTGTAGGATATTGCTCAGAGGGGTGCTTGTATCAGTGCTGCCCAGTATATTTACAATTACACCCCCGTGTGCTTGGTCTGGTGTTTCCCCCCAGCGCTGTGGGGCAGTGATTCATGCCACAAGTGCAGCAGCAGGGCCCTGTGGCCAGACTCCTTAGGTGGGGAGGGGGGCAAATACACACGCGGCATTATCAGCCCGACGGGCCGGCCAGCGCCCGGGCCCTGTCCCCGTCTGTCTCGCTGGGCGGCAGGCTCTGAACCTGCGGTAGAGGTGAATCTGCCCTGGGCTGAGCCTCAGGCTCGACTCCAACCACCCTCCCGCCAATAGGACGCCTCGTGGGCTTTCTTCGCTCAGTCCCGCCCACCTCCAATATGGCGTCGAAGTGGCAGAGGCACGTAACGTAGCTCGCATCTTCGTGCCCTTATACAACATGGCAGCAGCTACCTTACAGCTCGCGCTATCACGTGACCGCTCGAGCTCCTTCCCTCCGCCCCGTTTCTTTTTCTCCTTTCGGAAAAGGTGGGCGGGTCCCGGAGAGGCCGAGCCTCTGTCAGGTGATCGCCAGCTGGCGCGGTCACGACGGCTGGGGTGCAGTGAGAGTTGCTGTAGGAACGGGATGGCTGCTGCGGACGCTGCCGGCGGGAAGCGCGTGGGCTGCCCTGGCTGGGCGCTGCTGTGGGGCTGGGCGCTGCTGGGCTGCGCCTCGTGTCCTCGCCCCCCGGGCTACGTGCTGGACGATTCGGGCGGGCTGGGTCGAGAGTTCGACGGCATCGGGGCCGTGAGCGGCGGAGGGGTGAGCGGGGACAGGCAGGGCGGGAGGGGGTTTCGGTGGGGCAGGGGTGGATAGAGGGTGAATGGGGAACGGAGGGAGCGGGAATATGAGCGAGTGGGGGGTCTGGAGGGCAAGAGGAAGGGAAGTGGGTGTGAGTTGGGGTGACTGGAGGGAGATCAGAGTCTTGGGCAAGTTTTTGGGTGCCCCCCCCCCCGGGTTGGGCAGCTGTGTATGGGGAGAACGAACAAGGCTGAGGAGACACATCTCTTGTGCTGTGTGTGAGGACTGCCCTTAGATTTTCAATGCATAGTGAAGGGCTCTATAAGGAAAACAAGAAGAAATAGTAGTATACGAAAATCCAGAAGGATGAGTGTGTGTCTGTGTGTTGAGGGGAATGGGATGGGGGTATTGCTGCAAGTCATATTCAGGTGCTAAAAGCATGGCACCTGAGTAACGTTTGAGGTTGTGAATTATTTGGGACAGTGCTTCTTGTTGGCCCTTGTCCTCTCAAAAGCAAGATTTGGGATGTATGTGTAGTCTATTTCCAGATAGGACACTAATAATCTTTCTTTAGGAGATTCTAAAGGACAAATTAATCCTTGGCTAGCTAGAGTGAAATTCTTGGATTACTTGTATCAATGACTTACTTTGGTTAAAGACTTCTCTCTGCTGTTTTTAAAATATTTAAACCACCAAATGCCTAGTAAGTTTCCACAGACCTCTTCCAGTCCAAGGATTAAAGTCATGAGCTTCATTCAAACTCTACTGTGGTAGGTTACTGGAGTTAGCTTGGACATGTAGTCTGACTTGGATTTAGGAGGAAAAAAAGCAGGGAAAATGTATAGAGGAAAGAAGACCATGTTAGTTGGATAAAAGGTTTTACTTGGGAAAATGTATGTCTCCTCATACCCGAGATGGATTATATTGTACAGGCAGTCCCCGGGTTACGTACAAGATAGGGACTGTAGGTTTGTTCTTAAGTTGAATCTGTATGTAAGTCGGAACTGGCGTCCAGATTCAGACACTGCTGAAACTGACCGCCAGTTCTGACTTACATACAGAATCAACTTAAGAACCCCAGGCGTCCCCAAGTCAGCTGCTGCTGAAACTGATCAGCAGCTGATTCCAGGAAGCCCGGGGCAGAGCAACTCTGCTGGCACCGGAGCAGCGAGAAAGCCCCGTTCGTAAGTGCGGATCCGACGTAAGTCGGATCCGCGTAAGTCGGGGACTGCCTGTATATGCAATAACATGTCACTTACTTTTGAGATATTTTCTGCAATCTGGTAGCTAAATATTTATTTAGTTTTAATTTATTTATTCTTCTTTGAAAACCATGTTCTTTCGAAATCAGTTCACCTTATCGATAATTTTAAGTTCTGCTAGTGATTAAATTTGTATCTAGTTAAAGGGATGGGGACCTATGGCCCAGCATGCGGCATGTCTTGATCCGGCCCACGAGGCTTGGGCTCTCTCTTCCCACAACAGAGCAAGCCAGAGCTGGCTTGTCCTGCTATGGAGTCCGGAATCCCAAGCGTAACAGGCTGGATCAATGCAAGTTACAGGCTGCATCGGGCCCACGGGCTCTGCCTAGCAGGGGAGAGGAAGTGGTTCTTCATTCTGATGTCATCCCCTACTCCCTCTGGCTGGGGAAATGGCAGCTCAGAGAAGCTCTGGTCATGTGCTCACATGCGGTTCTACCACAGGGGAATGGTCAGAGGCCATCTGGGGGACCACCAGCCATGCAACTCCTCCCCCAACACAGGGAAGGGTCAGGACCATTCCTCTTCACCTCTGCTCTACTCTTCCCTCTCTTGCGCTGTCCTCTCCCTGCCTCTCCTCTTCCCCCCAACCAAAGCAGCGCCGTGGACCAGCAGGGCTGGTGTCAGCAGTAAAGGTCCAGTCCCCCGCCCTCCTCTGCACTCGTCAGCAGAAGCAGGGGAAGTGGAACAAGCTTTCTCGCCCCGACCTCCGGGGCGAGAAAGCCCCGTTCGTAAGTGCGGATCCGACATAAGTCGGATCCGCGTAAGTCGGGGACTGCCTGTATTCTGCATTTTATTACAATGCCTTGAGGCTTAGATAGGACTCCCTTTACTATTTGAAATTCAAATAAATAATAACCCTCTACATATATTCTTTTTTTTCTTTCTTTTTTCAGGCTACCTCTCGACTTTTGGTGAATTACCCAGAGCCTTATCGCTCCCAGATCTTAGATTATCTGTTTATGGTAATATTTGTCTTACAACCTCTTGTAGAACTTTAGTGTGTACTCTTATTTTTCATGGTGAATTATAATGAATTAGTTCTCTATAATGAATTAGTTACTTAAAAAACCTACCTTATTTTCTGCAGTATTAGAGGGACTGCTTAAATAAAGTCATGCTATTAATTATTATAACAATACGTAGAGCCTTGTTTTTAAAGGTACTGACACATCTGGATGCTTTTGAAAATCCTATTAGGCACCTTATACAAAGACTAACCAATACTAATTTACCTATAATTGTGATTGCAAACAATATTTTGTTGTCTTTTTATGCTTGTTTTTTAATTGAAACAAACATCTGATGTTTGCTTAGTTGTTTTTAATTAAATATCAATAAAACATCAATTGAATGTTTATCCATCGAACTCCAGAAATGGTTATTTGTTCTCAGCACTTGTTTTCATTATTTCTTTGTGTAGACTGTTATCTTATAATTTCTAAAGCATACTAATATGCTGTGTGTTACTTAGGGCTTGACAAACAATGTAATCTACTCACCCGTGGCGAGTAGATTACACCCTGAAAGAGCCAGCGCTGAGCGATTTGCACATGCACAGAATGATCTGCGCATGCGCAGAGCGCAGAACCGTGCGGCTGGTGAGCAAGGCTCACTGCCGCTTGGCGAGCCCATGGTATGTGTACAATCTGCTGGTGTGAAAATTTTCTATTTAACATTACTATAGTGCTGTTAGCAAAGTGCACTAGAGAACATTACAAAAGATTATTCATGACGGTATATGAGAGAGCCCCAACTCCTTTCATTTGCTTCCCCAGCTGCCTTCTTTATGGATTTTTGGGCATCTGTGTTGAACACACATTGGCTAAAAGTAACCTCACCCCAACATACAATGAATAGACATAATTCTTACTGATAAGAGAGCTAATCTATATTACGATTCTGGCTCGGTCATTCACTGACTTGTTTTAACTTCTTAGCTCCTGAATATGCAAACACTTATGTACTTGCTTGTTCTATGCACATAAGCAGTCTTTTTGACTGCAAAGAGACTACTTTTGTGTAAAGTTAAGCATGTTCATTAGTGTTCACAGGACTTTATCTTCACCTTTCTGAGACCAACTGTCTCTGTGTGTAAAACAGGGAATGCTGGCCTAATTCTGCAGCTTGCTTTGCAATCCTGTCTAATTACAAGATAGTATGGTTATAAATACAGCAACTTGAAGGTAAGTTTTATTTGTGTGGTGATAACTCTATCTGGGACCTAAATTCTAAGGCTGAATAGTCAGATCTTGTTACCCCATGGTGTAATAGCTGCCAAGAGTAAACACCACTTTTCCTAAATTAAGACAAAATAAGGAATTATACTGAATAAACTAAACAGTGTAAGGATACTTCCTCTTGGTAATAACCATAATTTAGGCTAATCAACATCTTATTGTTTCTGTTGGAGTTTGTTTAATTTTGAAAATACCAATTACTGAGATTCTGTTTTATTGCTATTCTGAAATAGCTAATTACTAGATATTTGAGAGTTTGTCTGTTCAAGAACTCCTCTTAAACGTTGAGAACTAGGACCACCAAATTTTCTACATAGCTTCCTTTTATCAAAACTTAAAAAGCAAGGCAAGGGTTTGTTGTACCAGGGAAATAGGTTGTGTCTGGAATGGGATTACATTTCATAAAACCATAAAGAAAAGACTCACCAGGCAGGTGAAAGGGGCTTCCCTGATATGGAAGTACCCCGGCTCCAAGCCTCGCATCCTCTCCCTCTCCCTTCATTCATATGGGGACAATGCTGGCTGTTCCCCTTTGTTAGGGAGGAATGGGGGGAAAGTGCACAGGTTGCTGCATTCCTCACTCTGGCTGGAAACTGTTCACTGTGCTCTCATTCCCAGTTTCTGAAAAATATAATAATTTAAATAAAGCATGCACATTTTCCTTTTATTTAAAAAACCCAAACCTTAATTGAGTTAAGGATCTTAGAAATTCTAGATAAATGTGCTAGTGATTAAATATTTTGGGACATTGGGATAGAACTAGAAGGTTTTTTTTCTAGTTTAAAGGTGGATAAATAAAGGGTTGATGTAGTCACCAAGGTTCCCTCTAAATTTTTCCATCCATGTGTGGAATAATTTGTATGCACTGGAGCATGAACAAATGTGCATCACCAGGAGAAACACAAACCTAACTGAGGGCGCTCTGCTAATCAGCTGGGTGTCGCTGGAATCTCTCCTGGGCAGCCACACAAGCACACAGCTTACAAGGAACTCTGGTGGTCATAACTATTATGGGTTGTAAACCCTGAAGACAATTTTGAATCAGAGGCCAAAAGTATTTATGCTTCATGATTGTTCGTTGGCTATTGCAAAGTATCCTTGCTCTAGCTTGCTAAGGTTGTTCCATTTCAATAGAATTGTTATCCTAAGATTTGCCTATGATGCAAGTTTAACTAGTTATGGTTTAGAATTCTTTAGATAAACCAATAAAAGTACCTTTATACCAGTAAAGCTGCCCATGCCACTTAATTATATCAATGTCTGCACTGATATAGCTACAGCAAGTACCAAAGTTGTATAGACAGGCCCTAAGTTCCAGGTAAGAGTGCTGTTCACTGCTTGTGATCTGTACCCTGAGGTGGCCAACATACCATTCTGAAGTAGCTGTTCTCTTGGTTTCAGCCCTGTAGAACACAGTTGCTGTGTTAGAGAAGTAGCTGTAAAGGTTTTTGATGGAAAGTGGGGAAGAGACATGATGTAGCTGCTTTTGCCTTTTGTGTGCTCGGTCACCTGTGGAAAACGTGAATGTAGCATATGACCTCTTATATGTAGCTATTGCCTTACCCACAAAAGAAGTTAATCAGAACTGTTAAGGTTCTGAATTATTTAAATAAATGAATATAAGCACTTTCGTATCAGAAAATCTATCCGTTTAGAAGGCTGTTCTGCTTTTCTAGATCAGTATCTAAACCAATGTAATTACAACAGTCTCAATCCTCAAGCGTCCAAGTTTTTTTTAGTTTTTGAAGGAACACGGTCATCTAGAAATCGATTCAGCTTAAAATAGTATTGTCCTATGTTAGTCTTTGGACTACTGTACAAAATTTTTGGGCTTTATCTTGACATCTTTCTATTTTAACTTTTCTGTGCTGAAGATTCATGCAAACAGGGAAATGTACTAATAACTACAGGATACACAGTGAAACTGACTAGAAACAAAGTACACTCAGTTACATAAAATATACTGGAAAAAGAGCAATAGCTTTCTGCTGTAATCTTTCAGATGCATTAATTGTAAGTGATGATGGTAAAAATATTCAGATAGAAAAGGGATGAAGATGATGGTGATACACTTTTTAGTTGACCATTCTTCTGCTTATTCATTTTTTTTCTTTTTTTTTTTTTAAGCCAAATTTTGGTGCCTCTTTGCATATTCTCAAAGTAGAGATTGGTGGTGATGGACAGTCAACAGGTATGAATTCTTGGGCTTACTGGTTTTATGCAGGTCATTCTTACTTCAAATGGTGTGGTGACGCAATAGATGAAATGCCACCAGTTTAGTGATAAACATTGTGATGAAAATTTCACTTCTTTTGAAATACTAAGGCTCTTTATGATATGCATGGGATTGCACTGCTATGTCTAAAAATGTTTACTGCTAGCTAGGGATGTTAAATTTAGTTTAATCATCTAATTGACTAGTTGACGGAATTTCCGTCGACTAGTCGATAAGCGTGGGAGCCACAACGAGGTTAGCGCCTGTCCCCGGGAGCTAACCCCAATTTGGCTCTGCCTTTTAAGTGTATTAAGAGCTGGCAGAAATGCAGCTGGGGGGCGGGGGAGCTGGGAATCAGCTGATTCCCGGCTTGTGCTGGGTCCCCGCTACCTCCTCTCCTATGCCCCACAGAGACGGTGCTGGGGGGAATCAGTTTTTAAGCCCACTTTCCCCAGCACCAGCTAATGCTCTTTCGCCCTCCTACCTCCCCACCCCGATGCCTCTAATAGAGGCAGCAAAGCGGGGGAGAGAAGCAGCTAGTCAAGGGACTAGTTGACTCTCCGATAAGCTTATGCTAGCACTTTTCTAGCTCCAGTTCTCAAACTGATATGGGAAGGGTCTTATTTTACTTGAGAATGTAGTACAGTCTGTTACTTACATTGTTCCAGAAAACCCTATGCTAATACCTGTTCCTGAAAGACAGGGACACTGCTAGTGAGTAGGGATGTGAAGGAATAGTCGACTGGTCCTAGATAAGCAAATGCTTATTGGATAGTTGACAGTCTAGCTGACTATCGCTTCCTGCCCCTCCTTGCTGTCTCTATCAAAAAGAGTCGGTGCCCCCAGGCTGCACATGGTGTTTCGAAGCGGCAGTGCTGTGTGGAGCCCGGGGTCAGCTGTGGACTCCCTCGCTGACCCTGGGCTCCATGTGGCAATTTCCACTTCAAAGGCGGAGGCGTCATATCGACGAATCCAATAGTTGATGCAAAATGCATCGACTAGTCAATTAGTTGATATTTAACATCCTTACTAGTGAGATGTGTTGTAGGGTTCTAGCCATAACACTGAATAGCTTTAGCATTGCTTGAGTGTCAGCTCTGCTGTGTGAACTAGATGTAAACCTTAGTTAGAAAAAGATACTACTACTTTGAGAGGTCTCTGTGGGTGCTCCATGCTTGGTGTTGGTGCCGTCCTGGCACCTGGATCGGAGATTTTGAAGCAGTCCCTGCTGGCCCGCACATGCGCAGCATGAACCAGTGCACACCATGCTAGTAGGCACTGCGCATGTGCAGCCCGA